CTGACACAGAGGTAGCGGATCACTCGAAGTGGCTCATTCGTGATGCTACTGCTCGCCTTGCTGTCCGCAACCACCTTCCGGTAGCTGAGAGGGCACACTTTAGCCAGCAGAAGACAGCCAAAGCCCTCTATGACGCAGTTGTCGCTCGTTACTCCTCCCCAGCTACTGCTGCCCTAGGCCGTCTCATGCTGCCGTACCTCTTTCCTGAGCTAGCTGATTTCCACATTGTTTCTGACCTCATGATCCACCTTCGCTCTAGTGAGACTCGCTACCGCGCCACTCTCAAGCCTACCTTTCTCGCTGCGAACCCCCCCCCCCCCCGCTGTATATCACCCTGTAATTCCTTGTCACTCGCCTCCCTGACGCCCTTCGCACTGTCAGGGACCACTTTCTCGTCGTTGACCCCACTGAACTCACACTTGCCTCGCTCGAGAAGTCTCTTCTTGAGGCTGAGAAGAGTACCAACGCTGTAGCTGCCTCTCGCGGCACTCCCCGCTCCCCCTTCTTTGAAGAGTGTGCTCCCTCCCCTCTCATCCCCTTAGTTGCTACTGCTGCTGCTGTCGACCTCCTTGGTGCTGAGGAAGTTGGCGCTGCGTCTGCTCCTAGTGGGAGGCGCAACAACAGCAAGGGCAAAGGGGGTAAGGGTGGTGGGGGCGGCACTAGCGGTGGTGGTAGCGGGGGTGGTGGTGGCGGGGGCGGAGGCGGTGGGGGTGGCTATCGAAGTGGAGGCAGTGGAGGCGGACGAGGTGGTGGAGGCAGCGGGGGTGGTGGAGGCAGCGGGGGTGGTGGAGGTGGCGGTGGTAGTGGAGGCAGCGGGGGCGGTGGAGGAGGTCGGGGTGGAGCTGGCAGGGGTGGCGGCTATGGCGGCTCCGCTCGTCGCGGTGGAGTCTATGGGAGTGGTCCGCAGCTGCCACGCCTCCCGGACAACCCCACCGCTCAGCAGCTTCGTGAGTGGATTGTCCAGCGTGGTTCCCCTGGGGGCACTGTTCGATGCTCCTATGGCAGGCGCACGGGTCTCCGCAAGGGTGAAACCTGCGGGAAGACTGGGCACACGGAGCATCGCTGCTTCGGCCGCCTCGAGGATGCCTGGGTGGCCGAGTACGGAGATGAGCAGGCTGTCCCCAACTGGGCGCAGCTGATGGCAAAGGGAGTAGATGTGTTTGCTCTTGACTGTGTTCAAATCAACAAGGCTATCTATGCTATGTATGTTGATGCTATTAGTGCTGAGGGTGCGTGTTACTCGTGTGTGCCTTGCGTTGTTGGTGAGTCTGCTGACGCTCTAGGTGCTAGTACGTCTGCTGTCACAGGTGCTGGTGAGTCTGCTGACGCTCTAGGTGCTAGTGCGTCTGCTGCCAAAGGTGCTAGTGAGTCTGCTACCTCAGCTGAGGCCTTACACACTTTCACACTTGACTCTGGTGCGTCTCGTTGCTTATTTCGTGACTGCACCACAGTCACACTGCTCGCTGCACCGGTCCCACTCTCACTGGCTGACCCCTCTGGGGGCCAAGTTGTCGCACAAGCCTCCACTGTCCTCCCGTGTTCGGCAGTCCCATCTGGCTCACTTCCAGGTCTCCACCTCCCCTCGTTCTCGACGAACCTGGTGAGCAACGTGGTCCTTCAGGATGTATGGGTTGACACCTTTACTCCTGGAGGACAGCGTCTGGCGATCTGTACGTGCTCCCGGACTGGCCGTCACCTTGCTACGTTCACTCGTCAGCCTGGGTCCAGTCTGTACACCCTCACCACTGCGTCTGCACAGGTGGGTGCGTCGGATCAGGTGTCTGCGTCTGGTCAGGTCGTTGTGTCGTGCTCGTGTCGGGTACTCTCCCACCAGACTCTCCTCTGGCACCACCGACTCGGTCACCCCTCTCTGCCACGCCTTCGTGGCATGAACTCGTGTCTCCTTGTCTCTGGCCTTCCCAGGTCCCTGCCCCCCTTCCCGTGCTCGCTTGCACCGCCGTGCCTTCCCTGCGTCGAAGGGCGGCAGCGCGCCGCTCCTCACTCCACCGAGTTTCCTCCGACCACTGCTCCTCTGCAGACTCTCCACATGGACGTGTGGGGCCCGGCCCCCGTCAGTGGGACGGACCAGGAGCGCTACTTCCTGCTGGTTGTTGACGACTACACACGCTACACCACTGTCTTCCCCTTGCGGCGCAAGGCAGACGTCACCCGTGTTTTGATCCCCTGGATCCGTGCTACTCGTCGCCAGCTGCGCGAGCGGTTTCGGCGGGACTTGCCAGTCCTGCGTCTGCACTCTGACAGGGGCGGTGAGTTCTCTTCTGGCCTCCTTGAGGAGTTGTGTCAAGACGAGGGCATCCGCTAGACGTTCACGCTTCCGGCCTCTCCACAGCAAAATGGGATTGCTGAGCGTCGCATTGGCTTGATCATGGAGGTTGCTCGTACCTCCATGATCCATGCGGCTGCTCCCCATTTTCTGTGGCCGTTTGTGGTTCGATACGCCGCACATCAGCTCAACCTCTGGCCCCGTGTCTCTTTGCCAAAGACCCCGCCCACACTCCGTTGGATGGGAGAGGTTGGCGATGTGTCGGCGTTTTGGGTCTGGGGAGCGCTCTCCCTTGTTCGCGATACCACCACAAGCAAGCTCTCTCATCGCACTCTCCGCTGCGCCTTCCTGGGCTTCCCCACCGACGCCCCGCCGTGGCAGTTTTACCACCCTCGCTCGCGTCGTGTCTTCTCCTCCCAGGACGTCACCTTTGACGTTTCGGTCTGTTTCTACAGGCTACACCCGCACGCGTCCCACCCGGTCCCCCTGGCGCCTCTCTTCCTGGTACCAGTTCCCCCCCCGGTAAACCCCCCCCCCCCCCCCCCCACAGGGTCCTTCTCCCGCAGGTGTGTTTCAGGTAGACCCACCCCCCTTGGATGAGCCAGTGGAGATCTCCTCTGACTCCTCTAACCCAGCTGAGGGGGGTGACACCGCCGTGGACGACACGGCGACCACTCGCCGCTCTCCTCGCTTGTTGTTCCCCCCTGGTTTTCCGCCTCGGCCGTCTTCGCCTCCTCCGCAGTCTGCAGCTGTGGACTCTGGTGCTGCTGCTGGTGGGGACACTGGGGGTGAGGGTTCTGGGGGTGCTGAGACTGGAGGTGAGGGTTCTGGGGGTGCTGCGTCTGGGGGTGCTGACACTGAGGCTGCTGCGAGTCCTAGTGGCGGTGGAGCCGTGGGTGACCCTACTGGAGGTCCTGGAGTTGGACAGCCTATTCGACTTGAGACGCTCTCGCCGCAGCAGATTCGTGAGTGGATCGTCCAGCGAGGACGTCCTAGTGGTGGAGGTTACAGTGTTACCGCTTCTGGAGCTGCTGGTGCTGGAGGTACTGGAGCTACTAGTTATGGAGGTACTGGAGGTGCTGGAGGTGCTGGAGCTGCTAGTCCTGGAGGTACTGGAGGTGCTATAGGTGCTGGAGGTGCTGGAGCTGCTAGTCCTGGAGGTGCTAGAGGTGCTGCTGGTGCTGGAGGTGCTAGAGCTGCTAGTCCTGGAGGTACTGGAGGTGCTGCTGGTGCTGGAGGTGCTGGAGCTGCTAGTCCTGGAGGTACAGGAGGTGCTACTGGTGCTGGAGGTGCTGGAGCTGCTAGTACTGGAGGTGCTGGGAGTGCTGGAGGTACTACTGGAGCTACTGTGCTCTTCGCCACCTTCTCAGTCTTCCGCCAGCTGCTTCTGAGTTCCCTGTCGCATGTACTACTCCTCCGTTACTGTCCCCACCGACAAACCGGTCTCAGGCACAGCTACTGCCTCACTCCCCACTGCTTGCTCCTGCTCCTTACACTTCGGTGATAGAGTCCCTGACTGACCATCGAGAGTCTCAGACTCGTGCTTCCACTCCTGAGCGTCGAGAGCCTGAGACTAGAGCTTCTGTCCCTGCTCGTGTTCCTCGTGTTCGTCGTCCTCGTGCTCCGGCTGTCTCAGGCACTCACGATATGACACTCCGTCCTTCCTCTGTTCCACAGCGTGTTGTCTGTTACTAAGAGGGGTGTGGAGGAAGAAAGGGGGGCCGGGGTGAGGTTCTAAGGGGCGGCTGAACGGGGGAGTGAGGTTAAGGGGGGGTGGTTGAAAGGGGGTGGGGACTTGGGGGTTACTAAGAGGGGTTTCGCCACTGGTGGCTCCCCCTCACCTCCTCTCCTCATCCCACTCTCACCTCTCCCTTTGTAAAAGGGGGTTCGTAAGAGGGGTTCGCCACGGGTGGCTCCCCCTCACCTCCTCTCCTCATCCCTCTCTCACCTCCTCCTTGGTACCTCTCCCCTCTCCTCTCCTTCTCTTCCTTCCACCTCCTCCTCCTCATTTAACTATCTGCCGACTTCCACTGCGCCAGGTGTACCCCTTCAGGGGGTGTTGACTGCACTAGTTATTACTACAAGCAGGCTAAGGGGGTGTGTTAAAGTTATATTTATTATCTATCCTGCTTGCTGTAGTTATTTTAGTGTAGTTCGTTAATTGTTTGTTTGGTGGTGCACCTTTGCTACTTTGCTATATGTACCTTGTGTGCTATAGTGAACCTAACCATTCTCACTCTCGCTTGGCACAATTTCTCTCGACATACGTTGGCCTAGGCTACTAAGACTAGGCCCTAAACCTTACGTTAGTATCTTGACATGGTATTGAGCTTGTAACATCCTGACCTAAGTTAATGGGCCCACCAGTTGACGCACTCGTCATGGCGCCTAGTTGCGACCTTAGTGACGGGCGCCACGGCGAGTACGTTCGCGGCCGTCCCGTCGCGTCGCGGCGCTCATCATGACGGCCGCGGCGGACGCTATGGCGAACGCCAGCGGACCCGCCAGCAACCCGCGGCGAAATCGCCAGCGAAATCGCCAGCAAAATCGCCAGCGAAATCGCCAGCGCGTTCGCCCACGCACCCGCGACCCCGCCGTCGGACCCGCCGACGAGCACGCCAGCCGGCTCGCCAACCGACGCACCCGCCAGCTCGCCCACCGACGCGCCAGCCAGCTCGCCGCAACAGCCGCCAGCCGCCAACGGGACCACCAGCAGTTACAACGCCAGCGGCGGCCGCCTGCACTGAAGCCTGCGCACCCAGTCCGCGCAACCCATCCGCGCAACCCGCCCGCTCGCCCGCCCCCTGCCCGTCTCCCCCCTCGTCGCGACTGTTTGCAGGTGCAGCGGCGGTCGCTTTGGGGGGGAGAGGGAGGAGGGGAAGGGAGTGGCGGCGGAGCACTGTGGGGGGGAGGCGAAAAGGGGGAAAGGGGTGACGGCGGGACGTCCGCCAGCATCAGCACCAGCACCGACACCAGGCACCAGCACCAGCGCCAGCCGCCTCAGGTACCGCCAGCAGTTACAACGCCAGAGACCCCCGCCAGCAGAGCCCCCACCAGCAGAGTCCCCCGCCAGCAGAGACCCCGCCAGCAGAGACCCCCGCCAGCAGAGACCCCGCCACGCCAGCAGAGACCCCCGCCAGCAGATACCCCCGCCAGCAGAGCCCCCGCCAGCAGAGACCCCGCCAGCAGAGCCCCCGCCAGCAGAGACCCCCGCCAGCAGAGACCCCGCCAGCAGAGCCCCCGCCAGCAGATACCCCCGCCAGCAGAGCCCCCGCCAGCAGAGATCCCCGCCAGCAGAGACCCCCGCCAGCAGAGACCCCGCCACGCCAGCAGAGACCCCCGCCAGCAGATACCCCCGCCAGCAGAGACCCCGCCAGCACAGCCCCCGCCAGCAGAGCCCCCGCCAGCAGAGACCCCGCCAGCAGAGACCCCGCCAGCAGAGACCCCGCCAGCAGCTACACCGCCAGCAGAGACCCCGCTGCAGAGACTACTATGGGTGGGGCAGGGGTGTGGAGGAAGAAAGGGGGGCCGGGGTGAGGTTCTAAGGGGCGGCTGAACGGGGGAGTGAGGTTAAGGGGGGGTGGTTGAAAGGGGGTGGGGACTTGGGGGTTACTAAGAGGGGTTTCGCCACTGGTGGCTCCCCCTCACCTCCTCTCCTCATCCCACTCTCACCTCTCCCTTTGTAAAAGGGGGTTCGTAAGAGGGGTTCGCCACGGGTGGCTCCCCCTCACCTCCTCTCCTCATCCCTCTCTCACCTCCTCCTTGGTACCTCTCCCCTCTCCTCTCCTTCTCTTCCTTCCGCCTCCTCCTCCTCATTTAACTCTCTGCCGACTTCCACTGCGCTAGGTGTACCCCTTCAGAGGGTGTTGACTGCACTAGTTATTACTGCAAGCAGGCTAAGGGGGTGTGTTAAAGTTATATTTAATATCTATCCTGCTTGCTGTAGTTATTTTAGTGTAGTTCGTTAATTGCTTGTTTGGTGGTGCACCTTTGCTACTTTGCTATATGTACCTTGTGTGCTATAGTGAACCCAACCATTCTCACTCTCGCTTGGCACAATCTCTCTCGACATACGTTGGCCTAGGCTACTACCGTAATCTCCCGGCAATAAGTCCCCCCCGCGTAGAGGCCCCCGGGTACTCTTTCCGGACTACGGGTCTTCTATTCGAGCTATTTCCGTGAGGACTCCCCTTTTTCATTTGTAGATTATAAGACCCTCTCTCTAGTTTAATTTACACCAAAATTATTCAAATAGTATGAGACACGAAACGTTGGTGCGTGTCAGTTTCGTGTCAGAATGTGTCAGAATCGCTGTCAGAATTCGAATCCATGCGAATCCACCGTCAAGACTCGAATCCGCGCCATGGAACATTTTGAACACCCTCGACAAAACGTGATTTTCCTGTGTCATGTGTGATTTGAATGTGTCTTATGAATTTTTAACATGTCCAGGGGTCTTTATAAAAATATGCCACTCTCTATTGTCCACCCAAGCATTATTTAAAACATTTTTTAAAAGACCCCCGGGGCTTATTGCCGGGAGATTACGGTAAGCCTAGGCCCTAAACCTTACGTTAGTATCTTGACATTGTCCTACCGTCACCTCCTGCGTCTTCTCATCCTGACGTTGTTGACCCTCCGTCTGACCTTGCTCGTGCTTCATGTCCGACTGTCACTCACTTTCTTGCTACAGTTGTGACGGACCCTACGTTCTCGTCTCCTGCTGCGTCTGCCTTAGTCGCTGAGCTAGTCGACTTTGCTGCTGCGTACCGCCTATACTACCTTGCGATTCTTGTTTCTGACCCTGACCCTGCCTGTCGTCTGTCCGTCAGGGGTGAGGTTGCCCTTGGCTGTGACGTTCTTGAGGACAGGCAGGAGGAGCTGGAGTGCCTTGCGGCCACTATACCTCATCTCGCTGCCATGCTGCTTGCCCCTGAGGGAGACCCAAATGCACTTGACATCCCCACCCCGCGCTCTTACAGAGAGGCGATCTCGGGTGAGTACTCCTCTCAGTGGAAGACAGCCATGGACGCAGAGATGGCTTCCTGGAAGTCCACAGGCACCTACGTCGACGAGGTTCCCCCTCCGGGGGCGAACATCGTCAGTGGCATGTGGATTTTCAGGGTGAAGCGGCCGACAGGTTCTCCGCCTGCCTTCAAGGCACGTTACGTTGCTCGAGGCTTCAGTCAGCGTGAGGGGGTCGAATTTTTTCAGACCTTCTCCCCCACCCCGAAGATGACCACTCTTCAGGTGTTGCTACACGTTGCAGCTCAGCGTCACTACGAGCTGCACTCCCTCGGCTTCTCGACAGCTTTCTTGCAGGGTAGCCTTCACGAGGCCATCTGGCTGCGCCGTCCACCTGGCTTCACTAGGTCGTTTCCTGAGGGTACCCAGTGGAGCCTACGGCGGCCAGTATAGGCACCCCGCGAGTGGCACGACACACTGAGAACAACACTTGTGGCTCTTGGGTTTGCTCCTTCGACTGCTGACCCGTCGCTGTTTCTGCGCACCGACCCTTCTCTGCCGCCGTTCTACATCCTCGTATACGTCGACGACTTGGTTTTTGCTACTGCTGACACTTAGGCACTGGCCCTAGTGAAGGCGGAGTTGCAGGAGAGACACACCTGCACTGACTTGGGTGAGCAGCAGAGCTATCTTGGCTTGCAGATCATTCGGGACAGAGCACGGCGCACCATCACCCTGACGCAGTCATACATGGTTCACCAGGTCCTTCAGCTCTTCGGCTTCACGTGGTCCTCGCCACAGCCCACTCCTCTGCCTACAGGCCACTCGCTCTCAGCTCCACCTTTGGACGAGTCCGTAGAGCCAAGTGGTCCGTATCCAGAGCTAGTGGGTTGCCTCATGTACCTGATGACGTGCACACGACCTGACCTCGCGTACCCTCTCAGCCTCCTGGCTCGCTACGTGGCTCCCGGTAGACACCGAAAGGTGCACTGGGAAGCTGCTAAGAGGGTACTGCGGTACTTGTGCAGTACATCGGGCATGGGGCTTGTGCTTGGAGGACGGGACTCAGTGGTACTCATACGTCAATCGGACGCTTCCTGGGCCGACGACCAGGCGACTCAGTGGTCGTCACAGGGTAACACCTTTAGTCTTGGCTCTGGTTCTGTCTCGTGGAGGTCTACTCGTTCGTCTTCTATGGTTGGTTCCAGCTGTGAGGCCGAGATCTACGTTGGGGCTATGGCTGCACAGGAGCTACGCTGGCTGACCTACCTGCTGACCGACTTGGGGGAGCGGCCTCGTTCTCCTCCAGTTCTGTACGTCGACAACAAGGCCATGCTTGCCTTGTGTCGCGAGCAGAGACTGGAGCACAGAACGAAGCACATTGCTCTTCGCTACTTTCTTGCTCGAGAGCTACTGCAGCGTCGTCAGCTCCGCCTTTCCTACGTGGCCTCTCGGGCCAACACTGCTGATGTTTTCACGAAGGCCCTTGGGTCTGGTGATCATCAGCGCTTTTGCACTGCTCTTGGGCTTCTGCCCACTCTGCCTCACCTGCTGGTTGCTTGACTTGCCTTGTACTGTGGACTCTATATATATACCTGCATGCTTGCTCTTGCAAGGTTGTGATCATTGTATTGCTTGTGCTTTTATAACTCTGCATGTGAACTGGCCTTGTGGCCGCTTGCTTGTGCTCAGACTGCGTGGTGATCTTGAGATCCACCCTGGGATTTGCTTTGTTTGCTTCTCTTTACTGGTCTTGTGACCACTATTTGGTTTGGCTATCCTCTACTTCACCTATGGGGGTGTGTCAAAACATTATATGCTTTCTATCATTCTAGTCTATGTAGGGGTTATCCTTAGAGGTTACAACACATTGCTCGTCACTCTTGTACCCCCCCCCCCCCCCCCCCCCCTTATCTAATCGATCATTCCTCTCGTAAGTCTCTAACAATAGTTGAGTCGTCTGATGATAGCGAGGATGAGCACGCGTGTGACTGAATGGCTGTATACATTAATTGTGTAGGTGCTATTTATAATAGTATAGTGTTTGGCAAATACTGGCAGTGTACCAAAAAAATCCACACTGCAGTTGTAGGGTAACAAATTCAAAAACTTAAAGTTACACTAATCCAAAAGTGTAACGAGAAAATGCACACTGCTCAGAAGGGTTATTGAAACGGCTACACTGCCAATCGTGAGTAGGCAAAATCCAAAACGAGGCCCTGCCTGGCAGCACATACAAAGGTTCTTCTCTCTGCCGATTTCCCTGTGTATGCCCACTCCCCGCCCTGCAGGTGTTAACAAGCAGAAGGCAATCAAGGAGCTCTGGTCGTTCTGTCCCGTTCTCGCTGGAGCCCCAAGGTCAGAGAGGAAGTTCTACCCAGGACTCTCGGCCATGCTGAAGTCGCCGGACAGGGAAATCGCCTATCCCAATCTGGTGAAGCTGTGGGTGGCTGTCGATGTGCTTCCGTTGAGCACAGTTGAATGCGAATGAGGATTCTCGCGACAGAATGTGATAAAGAGCTGGCTGAGAGGTGCGATCAAGGATGCACGGCTGTTTGACCTCAGGTGCATGGCCTTGCTGCAGTACGAGCCCGACTGGGAGGAGGTGGTGAAGATTTGGAGAGCGTACAAGAAGCGCAAGCCCTTCACAATAGTGGCTCCAGCCAAGAAACCTAGTGCAAACGGGAAAGATAAGGTAGATGAAGATGTCATGCTTCCTGTTTCTGGATCAGGGGGGACTGGTGGCACAATGACAGAGCCCCCCCCCCTCCCCCCAAGTACATGACTTTGAGCGATGATGACGATGAGGATGACATGTGATGTGATGTGATGTGATTGTTAGATAGGTGTTAAACCCTGGATCTGGATGGAATGGACGCTAGAACAATAATAAAACGTCCTTAGTAGAATTATACATAATAATGATCAGTGTTATACTTTTATTCACACTGAATGCACAACGTTTTTTTTTTACTAAACCCTGTTTTTCCAGTGTTTTAAACCAGACGACCCTGAAGATCGGTGTTACTACTCCAAGGGACCCTGTGTCAAGAACGGAATTATGATTTCACTAAAGTTGGTTGGGGTACATAAACCTAACCCTAACTGTTGTACCCCATATGACACACATCACTAAGACTATAACATCTGACACCAATGTCACCACACACTCTGAGCACAAGCAAAAGAGCCACAAGGCCAGTTCACGAGTTCACAGAGGTATATATAAAGCGTACAAACAAAGCAAGCAGAGAACTCAAGACTACGCAAGGCGAGAACCTGTGTCAACGAAACCTAACTGCACACAACACCTCTGGTGGTCACAAGGCGGAAGGGCCTTGGTGAAGATGTCTGCAGTGTTGGCCTCGGACTCCACAAAGTCGAAGCGAGCATGTCCACGCCTTTGCAACTCTCGCAGAAGAAAGTACCTGACATTGATGTGCTTCACTCTGCTCTCCAGTCGCGGCTCTCGACAGAAGAGAATCGACGCCTTGTTGTCAGTGAACAAGGTCGGTGCAAAGCTCGGCCGCTCACCAAGGTCGGTGAGCAAGAAAGTCAACCAACGCCGCTCCTGTGCAGCCATGGCTCCATCGTAGATCTCAGCCTCAGCGGTAGAGGTCGAGACCGAGGAGGAACGCGTGGACCTCCACAAAACAGCTCCAAAGCCCAGGCTGAAGCAATACCCCTGAGTAGACCTGTGAGTCTCGGCGTCGTCAGCGTAAGAAGAGTCACAGTGTCCAGTAAGTACGACAGACTGTCTCCCTCCAAGAACCAGCCTCACGCTTGATGTCGTCGCTAGGTACTTCGCCACCCTCACAGCAGCTGTCCAGTGAACTGGACGGTGTCTCCCTGGCGAAACAAAGCGAGCAAGGATGCTGAGAGGGAAGGCGATGTCCGGGCGAGTACAAGTCATCAGGTACATGAGGCAGCCCACAAGCTCTGCGTAGGGACCACTAGGCTCAAACGGCTCGTCAGGAAAGGGTCCAGTGAGTCTGTGGTCAACAGCAAGAGGTGTGCGCTGTACTGTGGAGTGCTGAAGCTCGAACCGCTGAAGGACCTGCTGCACCATGTGTGACTGTGAGAGTGTAATGGTGCGAGCGACTCAGTCACTGGTGATCTGCTGGCCAAGGTAGTGGCGCAGCTCACCAAGGTCAGTGCACGTGTGTCTCTTCTACAGTTCGCGCTTCACGTCAGCCAAAGCAACCCTGTCAGCAGTGGCAAAAACCAGGTCGTCGACGTGGACCAGTACAAAGAACGGTGTGGAGCCACGACGAACAAATAGCGACGGGTCGGCAGAAGACGGCTGGAAACCGAGATTAGACAGGGTAGAACGTAGGGTGTCGTGCCACTCACGAGGAGCCTGACGGAGACCATAGACCGGTCGCCTCAGCCTCCACTGGGTCCCAGGAGGGAAAGTGCCAGTGAAGACAGAGGGACGATGCAACCAGACCTCCTCGTGTAGGCTACCCTGAAGGAAGGCAGTGGAGAAGTCAAGAGAGTGTAGCTTGTAGTCTCTCTGTGCTTCTACGTGC